AGCACAAAGCTCTACATATAAAAAAACCCTTTCCTTATATAAACCTTTACACTCTATTGTCCCACCAATCCTACTCACTGAGAATAATGGGAGTAATGGGATCCCACTGATCCCATTGATAATAATTGGTGGGACTAATGGGACAGTCCATTACATAATATTAATCCCATAAGTCTTGTCGTCCTATCTTATTTCCTATCTTAGGGCTAATCCCTTGGAAGCTTATTAATCCTAACAAAACCTTTCTTGCTTACTGTACCCTGTATTGCTTATTCTTCCTAGGACCCTACTGTCCTAGGAACCATGTCCTATAATTTAGTGTATTCTATAACTAATACTATATACATGCCTAAGGCGTTCTTAGGTGCTTAGTGTCCCCTGGTATACTATAGTTGAATCACTAAGGCCTATAATATCATTATAGCCTATAAGTTGGTGATTCTACAGTCTGTTACTTGATTCATCGTAACACTTCTTTATATAAAAAGGAAATTGTTATATCTATATATGTATATTATTCTCATTTATACACGAAGTATATATATGGAGTAAAGTATGATATGTAATGTTATATTATTGATTATGTGTTTCGATAGTTTTATATATATATAAAAGTTTTTGAATAATGTAGTTTATTAGTAAGTGGGTTATATTAGTGAATGGATTACTTTTACTTTAATTTATACTTTTCTTTTTCAATATATATTTTATTAATAATTTATAATAAATTTGAATAATTAAAAAGCTTATATACTTTTTACTATTAAAACTATTTAGAAAGATAAAAAAATAAGTATTTAAAAGCTATAAAGATATATAATATTCTGAATATAATATTATAATATAAAATCAAAGGTTTTACCTTTTGTTTCAAATATTAATCTAAATTTTATAATCTTTTAAAATTAAAAGAGAATATTATTTCTGAATATATAATTGATATGAATTTAAAAGGGTTTTTATTTAAATTTAAGAATGTAAAAGATATAATAAATTATATTTTTGAATTGAAAGATATGAAATGTATTAAGAAACTTTAAGTATATTAATTTGTAAAGTATTAAATTAAAATAAAAACATATTTTAATTATATTTATAACTTTTGAAGAACTTTTTATAAGGATTTTAAACTTTTTAAAGAATAATTTTAATTAATTATAAATATATAAATGAAATATAATATTTTAAATAAAGATTTTTATAATTTCAATGAAATAGATTTTATAATAGGGATTATATATATAATAATAATAATTAATACTAAATGAAATAATAGAAGCAAAATAGTATAATTAAATAATCAAGAATAGACTATAATAATAATATATAGAAATAAAAAGGATAAAAACTATTTCCCTATTTCTAATAATTCAAAAACAAGTTTATCTCTCTAATTAATATATTAAAACAAATCTTCCTATAGAATAAATTATTAAATCTATATTTAATAAATGAATAAATAATAAGATAGATTTAGAATAATTGAAATACTTTAATAAGTATATTAAGAATTAAAGAAAGAGTAAATATTAAATATTAATATTAAATAAATATAAAAACTATAAATCAATAGCTTTTCAAATATATTATAAAGAGAATAATATTATATATTTATATTTACTATTATATTCAAGTTATTTAATTTAATTACTTAATGTAAGTTGTTTTAGTAATCTAAAACGTTTATATGATAGTCAAATTAATGGATTTATTAAGGCATATATTAATTATATTTCGAAGGTTGAATTCTTTATAGCTTTTAAAATTATATATAAAGAATCAATCATTTTTTAGAATATAAAATTAAGATTTCAAAAAATAGATTTAATCCTATTTAATCCTGAAACTATACTTTCGAAATTAGATATTCGAATTCGTATATTTACCCTTCCCTTTTTCAATTTAAATTAATAAATCTCTCAAACTCCTTATAACCCAATTGAAACTCTTTCTTAATCAATATTAATTAAATCTCAAATAACTTATTATCAATCAAGTTTCTTTATATTTATATTTAAAACTATACTAATTCTAATTAAAGATATAAAAAGATTAATTTATAAAAATATACTTTTAAATATAAAGATTCATACACTTCAAATAGCAAATAAAATATTAAATAAATATCAATATATAAAAAAAACTTAATTACATTAAGGGAAAGTATTTATTAAATAAGAGGCTTTTAATATATTATTTCAATAAAAGGTTAATATTCAGATTCAATATAACGAATATTAAAAAGAAAGGAATTCTAATGAGGAAGCATCTTCTAGTTGATATTATAGTAAGTGTGAAAAGACTGAATATAATATAAGAACTTGTTAAAATGATATAATAGATTCTAAATTATTAAAATCTTTATAGTTTTAATCAATTGATTTTGTTATTATTGAATAATATGATTTTGAATAAATAAATTGAGGTAAAAATGACTCATTCATTGATATAACCTACTCACTAATAAAACATGTTATACTTAAGAATTAAAAAATATAAAAACAAGATTTTATTTTATTAATAAATCATTTTATTATAAAGTTCTATAATTATAAGGTTTATTGAATTATAATTTATAACTAAGAAATTCAGGGTAAGAAAAAAGATAACATTTTTGAATAATATTAAAAAGATCTGTATACAAATAAGAGAATAAAAGTAATATATTTAGATAGAAGTAAATGAAATATATATAAGAGCTTTATTTATAAGTATATACTAATATTATTTCATTTCTTATTTGAAAGAGTTTTTAATAATATAACAAATCTAATAAACATTTAAAGATCAATCTTAAAATTAAAAGCTATAAAATTAAAGAAAGTATACTACAAAGCTATATATATGATTGGCTCGGAGCTTAGTATTGCAATAGCCTGATCAAACGCGATCACGTGTATACCATGACATATTTCAATCATTGTTTTGAATAAAAATAATATAATTGTATCTTAATAAAAAGTTTTAATAAAATATAATGATTAATCAATTATTAATTGAATTTAATATATCATTTTGAAAAGAAATAAAGATGTGCAAGATATAGGGTTGTGTAAGATGTAGGAATATCGGTTAAACCCGACCTCCAGAATCTATCTTCATCATCCATCCTCCACCCTACGGCGTACATACATACTTCTCTTCCTCAAATCACACACCAAACACCACACATACACACATACACATCTCACCCCCCTTCCACAAAATCTCTCCGCCACCGAACCACCCAAATCCTAGCTTGATCTCTCTCTCCTTCCAGTTCCGATGCATCACCATTCAACGCCTCATTCGTCATCCGCATTTAAAATCCATCTCGCCGAGCGGGGAAATAATATCAAATGAGATTAGATTAAATTAAAGCCGAGTTTCGAGATCTAGATTAAGATCAGGAGACAGGAGAGAAGAAGAGGAAGGGGGGGGGGTGGGGGTACCTGGTACTTGGTTCTTAATAGGTAGGGTATACTATAAAGAATTAGATGAACATGAAGAAATAAGGAAATAAAGAAATAATCAAATAGCCAAATAGATATAAATATACATTTATCTTACCCTATTTAGTAATATCACGAAATACAAATGCAAGTAAGTTATAAATAAATATATACATCTTTTCATTGTTTGATCGTTTTATTATTTCATTATTTTTTCTCTTCTTTCCCATGTACGCAGATACAGACCCATCCACACACCCACTCAAAAAATCACAAGACTTTCATCTTTCAATCCAGGCAAGAAATTTTTTCTCTAGACTTCAATTTCAACTCTGATAGAAAATGAGTTATCACTCCACACTGCACACTACACCTCAAACACTATATATACATCATCACCAAAAAATAAACAAACATAGTATCACAGACTCACAATCCCAAAGTCTCAAAGTAAAGATAAACACAGTGCACACAAGTAAAAAATCCTCATCAATTCTTCCATTCTCGCTAAAAATCTCCTTTCTGCATCCCCTATCTCCACTCCCTCCCCCTCCCTATCACCCCCCATCACATCTCATTATCCACCCCTCTCCCCCCTCTAATCCGCCCGCACACTCCCTCAAAACTCTCCCACCTCGAAAACAAAATGTTATAGTACATTATCCTCATCATCATTTCTACCTACCTTTCAATTCCAGTGCAATTCAATCAATTCAATTCGATCCCGATTCCCAATCCCAAGTTCACAAACAATTAAAAAAAGAAACAATCTCCTTAATAACAACAACCAGCAGTAGTAATATGAATTTAGTAATAAAATTACTAGTACTGTCCATAAACTACTCCTACCACACTCCCCCATATTAACCACACCAACCAACTCAATCCCAAAGAAGCCCGTTTTCTCAAAGAAAATGTATCTCTCATCTCCCTATCCTCAACCAAATGCATGACCACCCCACACAACATTCCCATTACCCATCAGATCTCCTCCGACGAGATCTCAAGGATTCTACCAACTCGCTTAGAGGAATCATGCAGTGCAATGCCATGTGCAATCCAACAAAGTCCCATCATATGATAAAGGATTTGACTCGTGAGACAATGCACCACAACGCCATTAAAGAGAGAAGAAGCAGAAGACGAAGAAAAGCTACAAAACACATAAAAAAGTCAGAAAGCAATGCAAATGTGATATTTTCCTCTCAAGCTTCCTCCATGTCCATCAAAACAACCCCGCCAAGCAAGCAAATGAATTATATGCAAGAAGCAACAGTGTATAAATTGCCAAATAAACAGTAATAAAGAAGAACGAAGAAAGAAGGTAGCCGGGCCACCAGAACACACAATTTGCTTTAATATCTTCCTCTCCATTCGGTATCTTTATCTTATTCCCTATCCTCATAAATTCATTAAAATGTGGTGGCCATCCCGAATTCTGTCCATGTATGTATACAATTCGATACCCAGCTCAAAATCCCTTCCCCAATGTAAGGAAGCAATCAATCTAAAACAATTAAACAAATATCTTTATCCGAAATCCCAATCCCCAATGTTATTGCTACCAAATCAAAGTACGTTGACTTGATTCGAAGTTGATGCGCCAGCATTTGAATCCTTTCTACCGCCAGTAGGACTCATAATTCTTTCCGAACCGGTCAAGCTTTCTTTTCTTGATTTAGCTTCTTGCTCTTCGACATCTAATCGTTTCCTCCAATCTGCGAGACTACCACTTAATTGAGGAGCATTGTCGGCGTCGGATTTGCTGGTAGTAGGTCGTTCCTCGAAATCACCAAAACCACTAAGTCTATAGTTCTTGTTTGTGGTTTCCCATTGCGTTCGTAGCGTTTCTAATTCCGAGGCAAGACTATCTAAAGCCATGCTATTGCGGTTGTCATTCGCACCACCATACATCGATGATTCAGATACCGATTCGTGACCAATAGAGTTTCGTTGGTTTGTAGAAGGAGCCGTTGCCCCGACCATATTATCGAGATTACGTGATTGACGACGGTAATTATCAACTGATGATTCAACTTGATCAAGTAGCAATGAAACCTTTTCCTCAGCATCTTGAGCACGCTTTTCTAACTGAGCATTTTCTTCTTGCAATTGGTCAAGTTCATGACGTGCTTGCTCACTGCTAGAAGCCAATTGCTTTTCCAAGGCTTCATACTTCTGCTTCAGTTCAGAGTTACTAGTTTGAGTGTCTTGTAATTCCTTTCGAACATCCGTCAATTGCTTCTCCATTTGCACAGTCGATGTATTAATCTCTGACTGAAGTGTCTCGATTTGACCAACCAAGCCGGCACGTTCACTTTCCCAGTTCGTAGGCGATTTTGTTGAGGTAGATCTTTCCTCAGCAGCCGTGAGCTGTTCCTTCAATCGTGTATTATCTTGCTTGTATCTGGACAGTTCGTCCTTCATTCGTTTGAGCATTTTTTCAGTGCCTTTTACGTAGTGGACGGCGGATTGATAGTCATTCTCTAGCTGACTCAACTTCTCGCGATAAGCACTCTCGGCTTCTTGCTCTCGGTTCTCAAAGGCTTCCTTAGTCTCTTGGTGTGAATGCATGCTAGCTGCGAGTTGTTGTTCAAGTTCACGAAGACGCGCCATATCTGGTGTATTAGAGCCCGATTGAGGACTAGACAATCCTCGAGTTCTTGATGCACCAACAGGACTGATGCCACGCTCACCAAGAATATCCTTCAAAGTGTTGTGCTGTACGTTGACTGCATTCGTCTCCAACTGTTGGTTAGCAAGTTGATGTTTCATATCAGAGTTAGCAGCTTGGAGTGATTGTGCTTCACGCATATACGCTTGAAGCTGCTTTCGAATGGACATGCCTTCCCGACTTGCCTGCTCTTGATAAGCCTCCAGCCCGGCAATGCGTTCCTCGGCACTTCGAAGCTTGTCTGAAGCAGTATTCGCTGCAGCTTGATATTTGCGAACCAAGGCATTAGAAGCTTGAACTTGTGCCTCAAGGGCTGAAGCGCGGTCATCTCTGGCGGAATCCTTTGGCGCAAAATCTCTAGTACTCGAGATCTTGTCGAGGCCAGACAGTACTGCTTCTTTGTGAGTTCGAGCCTCAATTGCATGTTGTTCAGCAATTTCTTCGGCATCTCTCAGACGTCGGGTAACGGACTCTAGCTCAGAAGTACGATTTTCGTGCTCAGCTCTAAGCGCCGAGAGTTTTTCTTCGACAGATTCGCGTAAAGCACGTTCCTCGTCGAGTTTTCGTTCCAGTAGGTTCTTCATATCGGCGGACGACGTTATGGCTTCCCGGAGCGACTCGAATGTCTCGCTGTGATCCTGCGCAGTGACCAATATTTCTTTGTGTCGTGCTTCTAATTCATCCTTTTCAGCTTGAATAAGTTGTGCGGCTGCGACAGCTTCTTGGCAAACAATCGCCTCTTCCCTGGCTGCAACTTCTAATTCGTGCAACTCTGCTTTGAGCAGTTCAACCTCGGAAGAATTCTGTTGTTTGTATGTTTGTAATTCGGCCATTCGTGATTGTGTGATGTTGGCAGTATCCTCGGCGAGCTGTCTTCCACGTTTTTCAGCTTCGAGCTCAGCGGTAAGGCTATCCACCTTGTTCTTGAGATCTCGTTGCGATGCTAGAGCGGCAGCTAGTTTCCTGCTGATATCCGAAGATCGATCATTTGTCATGGCTTCGATGTCTCTATTTTCGCTGTCGGGCTGTGGCGTGCTACTTTGACTTCCAGCGTGAGCTGCAAGTTTCGCTTTATGGTATACCGCTTCATTAATAGCTGCATCTCTTTGCTTTTCAACCTCAGCGATTTGTTTTGCTGCAAGGACTGCTTGCTTGTCAATTGAACCCTGGACATTGGCCAGCTCTGCTTTCATTGCCAAAAGTGCTTCAATGAGTGGTTTATCATCGTCATCGAAAGATTCTGCTGCTTTCTGATCTAACATAGGACTCGTCGAAGGGTTGGGTGTATATCCGGCTTTCCGTGCAAGTTCAAGCTCAGAAGCATACCAGGCATTTCTGTTTCTGGCAGCATCTAACTCCTTTAGCAACGTCACAGTTTGAGAACCTCTGGCCGAAGTCCTTCGACTAAGAGGATTACTTGGTTGTCTTGTAGGCGGGGGAGGCGACACTTGACGACTCATAGCATCTCTCAAAGAAACATCTGTATTGCTATCCACTGAACTTTGACCACGGGGCTGGCTTTGTTTCGACGAGGCTCTCGAGTTCGTGCCACTCGGTTGCTGAGAGTTAGAATCTTGCCTGCTTATTGACTTTGGCGTCTGCTGAGGTTGCCGGGCGTCGGAATCTTGCCTTGCTATGGATTTGGCAATTTGTTGGGGTTGTGATTGAGGTGGAACTCCAGCTTGCATCTGAGGAGGAATTTGGTTATGTGATGTTTGATGTTCTTGCTGTGAAACGTTTTGAAGTGGAGGACGCGGACCATTGGTGATTGGACTCTCTCGAGCCAGGGGACTTTCTTCCTGTGCAGGCGAGAGGGCTCGTTGAACCAGAGGAATATTCTCCAGTTTGGGGTTTCGCATAGAGATATCGATAGCAGGGCCAAATTGATTGTTGGGTCTCCCTTGCCCTGGAGGACTCGGAGCATTCTGAGGACCTTGTGGACCTTGTGAGCCCTGTAAGCCCTGTGAGCCTTGTGAGCCTTGTGAGCCCTGTGAGCCTTGTGGACCTTGTGGACCCTGGGGACCTCTGGGGCCTCTACCGTTAGAACCAGCATTAGGACCTCGAGGATTCGGTACTTGCTGTTGTGGTGGTGGACCAGGCTGTCCCAATGATGCCCTAGGTAGTTTCGAACCAGGTTGTGGGCCCTGGGGTTGAGCTGAACCAGGAGCGATGCCGTTGGAATCGTTACCGTTCACATTTGGTTGTCCACCATTTCGGCTATTGGCGCCCTCTCTGGGTGGGCCGTTGCCTTTCTTCGGCTCTGGTAATGCGGAATTTTCCCTAGAGCCCATGTTTCGCGGACCCAACCCACTCTTCTCACCTGCACTGGGACGTCTACCCCCAGGCACACGCTCATTACCAGCACCTTGTTGAGACTGTTGGGATGATTGCTGATCATTGGGATATCGAATTTTGCTTGTGTCGAGAACGTAAACGGTTGCAAGATCTTGAGCTTCACGAGCTGCCGTGCTTGGTTCCCCAGCAAGAACAATAATTTGTTTGCCATACGCCGTCATACTGTGTCCAGAACGTGGGGAAGGTGACGGACCCATGTTCTGAAAGGTATACCAACGCCTGGATGAGATTCTGAATGCTGCCAAATCGCCTAAATCTGCACCTTCTTCAGTTCGACCACCGAAAATATACATTACATCGTCCACGATTGCAGCGGCATGGCCCTCTCGAGGAGCTGGAATATACCCAATACAATCCAGTTGAGTCCATGCATTAGTGATCGGATCGTAGCACCAAACATCATTAAACCATTGAAAGCCATTTGTTCCTCCAAATCTAAAAGAATTAGTCGTCGTTCGGGCTATCAACTGTTTCGTTGATATAAACTTACAGAAAAAGCTTCTCATTAAAAGTGACCACAGAATGATTTGTCCTGGCTGGGGGTATCTGTCCGACAGGAGGTCCACCTTCATCACTATTCTTTATAAGCATTTCCCATCTATTTGTCGGAATTTGCAGTTGATTCAAATCAAATGCAACCAGATCATTCATAAAATATCCCTCGACTTGACCACCAAAGACATAGATTTTTGAGCCCAAAATGTTCAGTGAGTGCCCATATCTGCCGGCCGGTCTCGGTCCTGCTGGGACAGCTCTTGACCATTGTCTTGTGGCTAAAAATTCTTTAGCATGTTTTCCTATATGTCGCCGGGCCGACTTACAAGTATTCAAGAGGTATAAAGTTTCATCTAGAACATCAGAATCCTCCATCTTGGTATCTCCTCCATAGACAATAAAGGCATTTCCCACCAGTAAACTCGCATGGCCGACTCTTGGTCCTGGACCTTCAGAAGTAGTGCCCAATGGGTAGCATGCCATATTGGCACCCGCTTCTACCATCCACAAATCACCCTTTACTGTTGAGCTATTGATGAGACCTCCCATGAGATATATCTCACCCTCTTTCGAGGCCATGGAATTGACAGCGGCGCCATATCGAGGAAAGGGAGGAGGATGATTAGTTGTGTATGTTATTCTTCGCTGCGACCATGGGTATAATGAGGAATTAGGATTTGAATTCATTGACTGTGTTGGCGGCGGCGGCGCGCCGTTTCGCAGCTATATGTAGACATCATCAATCAGTATTTGGATCCCATCTCAGCATAGTAATTGCGATCTGCGGAATTCAGAAAAAGATTGCCCATCACTTACCGCGAGATCCTGCGCTTGCTCTGGGTTTGGTCCTCGTCGTCCGTTTAATTGTTCTGGACTTGGCGTCGCTGGATTTCCTCCTTGCAGCGACGTAATGGAATTATTGACACTACTCGAAGGGGTCGTCGTCCTCTCAGCTTGTTGCGGCATACGACCTTTCTCGCTTTGGAGGGATGATTGTGAACCAGGAGCCCCATTTCCGCCATCTCTCAAGGCTTGAGCCTTATCTGCATGCTTTTTACTCTTGAAGAGGAATGCCATCGTGCCATTCGAGGCCAACCACTTTCACTTCTTTCCCAATGCCGGCAGCGCAAGTGGATAAATGATTTCTTTTCGACGAGATAGCGAATTCGTTTAATACAATGGAAACGATTGTTGTTTATGTTTGAGAAATTCGAGATTATTATTAAACTTGGTTTGGAAAGTCTCAGGAAAAGGGATTAAGTCTGAGCCAATGTCCAGGGTTCTTGCTGTTTAGAAATGGCTGGGATTTATTAAGAAGGGTTGGTGGTTATTTTTATATTATGGGATTTTATTCAAAGCTTCTATCAAGTAAACAATGTGAATATGAATATGAATATGAATATGAATATGAATATGGATCGTAAACAGTCGAATAAGATATTGGATGATTCGAAGCGCAAAAAACGGTATTATTGGGGAAGAAAAAGAAAAGATGGTAAAAAGCTCCGAATATTATTAAAGTATCTTGGTGATGATCAGAATGGGGGAGATGGGGAGATTGATGATGGCATGGAATGGAATGGGATGAGATGAGATGAGATGGGACAAGATGGGACAGGATGTGATGTGATAGTTTCTCTATTCCAAGACAAACTCTTTTGAGGGAGGGTCAATTGGGAGTGGGTGAGTGAGTGGGTGAGTGAGTGGGTGAGTGGGTGAGTGAGTGAGTGAGTGATAGTGAGTTGAGTTGAGTCTCTTGTTCGTATCTACAGAAGTACCTGGATTATGTGCCAGTTGGGTGTGTGGGTATGTGAAGAAGTACAGTGCTTAGAACCAGCTACCTCAGAGTATCAACTCTAAAGTCTAAAATATTGCTACCTTGTCACTAGTGGCCTACTCCCTCCGTATATGGTCCAGCATCGTAATACGCCTTGTTTTATCTTTCAGGTACCAAAGAACCACAATTTCGGAATGAGATAGACCAGGGGTTGAGATCCAATCCTGACAATACCCTGACAATGAATACATTCGTCAAATGGATGCTGTGCAAATAAAAGGCTTAATATTGACGTGGAAGAAAGTGTATTATTATGATTATGAGTCTACCCAGCACCTACCTAGCTATTATGGTCAGAGAGATGCGAAAGGGGGAAACGGTTAACGTGGAGATTAACCTTGACATTACTCTTTTCCCCCTTCCCTAGAGAACTATCAATTTGGCTTGTCTTATTATAGGAACAGGACGAGACTCATATGGGTGGAAAAGAAACTGAGTCAAAATTCCCAACTTCTGCAGCCGCCGCGTCTGTACATCCGTATCAGAATCATATTATATATGTAGGGAGTACGACCCTAAGGTATGTACCTTTCTGCGATATATACCTAGTCCCTAGTAAAGTCTTTCTCTTCCTTTTCCTGCTGAACGTTTCCCACAATTCTCCAAAAGTTGATATGATACATATGTACGATGTACGATGTAGGATTTTTAATGGTTCATGGTTCATCGTTCACGTCCAGCCATTGCCATGTACCCCTGACTCTGGACCATTTCCCCTTCATTTCCGTTCCACTCATCATCTTCCCATTCATGCGCACTTTACTCAATTCGATCGACGGTTAGGAGTTTCATTTCACACCCAAGCAATTTATGGGTAGGGCTATCAAATTAAGTATCGACATTGGAGGCCCTTGCTTCTGGCTGCTATGCATTCGGACTACCGTGGAAACAAAGATAAATCTTTCACGTTTCCTTTTACTTCAACGACTAGGTAGCTAAATTTTTACTCGTCATCGTCATCTTTCCTCCAGATATACTCCGTGATTCTATTGAATCCTTCTCGAACAATTCATGGAATCTCTGAGGGGGTCCATGATGAAGGAGTTTGAATCGTAGCTACAAAATATGTCGGCACCCGCTTGATTAGTATGCAGCAATGCCTCCAATTCGACTTATCCAGCCAACCAGATATCTCATACGAAGGCGATCATCTATTCATCATCCCGGATTGGCAGTGCGTCGGTTTCCATTGTTGCAACAGGTAGACAGAAGATTTGCTCGGTCAGATACATTGGCTTTCCTATAGGTCCAATCATGGCTGGGCGTTTGATCTTGAAATTTCCGGCTGCATGCTGTCATATTTCTTCCATCCTCATTCAACAAATCAGAAGAGATAAAGATCTGGGCGATGCAGTGGCGATGTATTCACGAGATCGATAAATAAAGTTTTTGACCACTTCTGCTTCTCTATGCAGTACCATTTTAAGATCTATTCAAGCTGAGGAGGATCCGGGGAAGCGGTTACACCATCCTCATGAAAACCGATTCCCTCTCTCTTCGTCTAATACATGCTCTGGAAAAGAAACAGAACATATAACATATGATTGGAGGTGTGATATTTGGGGGTTCTGACTTCTGGCGGCTAAAATCCTTTGAAATTGGGTTGACAGATGACCTACATATTGCGTACAATCACATCAATCCATGGTAGATGGTGATCCTCCAAGGACATTGAAGATGTTTTCTGGAATAGGGTAATAAGTGTGTAGGTACTGAATGGTAAGTTACAACGATTCCTATGTTTCTTCCTTGGTAAACCGAAACCCTGGATGATAGGTAACAATCAGATCTCCTTTGCACACCTAAAAGATTCCGGTCACAATAAGTTGCATCGTGCATGAAATATGCGAAATCCACAACCAGCATCGAATATAGCGATTGATAGTAGTTTAAGTGGAATGGAAAGCTGGAGAGTCGAGTAAATTGAGAATGCAGTACAACATTGTATCAAGTCAATCTTCCGATGGATTGGAAAGGGTAGAAAGGGGGTCAAGTAAAGTCGAGAGTTTGCTTGATGAACTTTGGGAATCTCAGCATTTAGTCATACATAATATATATGAATTGAGATTCCGCGGTCCTTTCAACCTGCTCAGTTACACCTCATCTCCATCTCGATATAGTAGCACCACCTGGGCATCTCTAGCATCATCACATCTTATCAATTCTGAGCCACAAGGACTAGAGCTACACGCTTTGTCAGCCATGTTAGCCAACCTTAACCTTAGGTACCTGCTGGAAGAATCCTCATCAGCCACGTTATGTTGTGGCGTCGGTATATCTAGCGGGATCTCGGTTGTGCAAAGTCTAATTTGTAAGGCGGTCATTATTCTACTCTACTCTGTATTCTGTCTGTATTGCATTCAAATATTCCCAGCTCGTGACATTTATTATATTAATTTCAAGGTATGATAATAAGTTAGTGATAAAGATACTGCTACTTTCACAACTCACAGGTACATAGGTACTCTCCATACATAGGTATCTTTTCGATCACTCGAATATATATATATAATTCGGCCTTCAGTCGAAATTGATTTTTCAACCTCGTGGTATCATATAATTCACCAAATTGTGCGTCATTTAGTAATCATCATTGAACTGTTGGTTCTCTTGATCCACGCGTCGGATTGTCTTTTGATGTAAATTCCCACCTAACTGTCATTAGATCAGATACAGATTATCTTTCTAGAGGACCTTCGACCAACTCATCGCGAAGCCTTACCGAAACCTCGACCGCCCTCTCGACCGCCTCAATTTATTCATTCTTCGACTTTCAAGTATTCAATGAGCAATTAATGTTTGAAGAATGGTAATTTTTCCCTTCTAAGATCATGACAGCAGTTGCCGTTCAGCATGGAGCTCCCCGCCAACAACACGATCTACACCGATCAAATCCCGCTCCCAAATTAGATTCACCTTCAGGTCAACAACCTCAACCTCAAAACCATACATTTGCCACTGCGCCGAACTCACAACAACTGCCACATTCCAGTCCGGCAATGAATGGTATGAATGGCATGTTAGGAACCATGAATTCGAGGCATACCGTGAGCAATGATCCAATCCAGCCTGTCAACGGCGTAGAAGCTGGATCTGCATATGCGCCGGCGAACTTGGATCGCATCAATGGTACATCGCAGAATGGATCAAGCACACGGCCAACAACTTCAACCGGAGCTACTGCAGAATCATCACAAGACGATTCGGAGCCAGATAAAATACGGCGCAGACCAGCTGCACTACTTCAAAGATCCAAGAGTGATTATGGACCGAGGGGTGAAGATGCAAATGTAGATATGGAAGAAGATATACAAGATTGGGGAGAAAGGCATGGGTTTGGAACTAATTATGCATCTGAAGAGTATGTTTCGCAACTAGCAAATGTAAGTTGTTCTTTCCTTCAATGATAATATCTCGGTCCGGCATCAGTCTCCCAGTTTTTGAATATGCCACTCTTTCAACCCTGCAACACCTCGACCTAAGCAAACTGTTATTTTGTACATCTCATAACATTCTTTTCTTTCTGAAGCATGGATGATCATTTTGATGTTTGGAGTTTAAGTTACTCTTTTGTTGAAAGCTTCGATTTTTTGTCGCCCATAGCAAATGATGATCGGGAGGGCGCAGACTATTTCTGTGAGAAACGCGAATATGTGATTGCAGTCTCAAACAACGGCTCAGCGTTCCGTCGAGCGCAGCATCGCCGCCTTCAATCTTCATTGCGCTGGGCGCTTGGAGTTGACTTTGTGGACGTAGACTTAGAAACAAGTACTGACATTGTACAACAGAACTGGTACATGTACTTTACAGATAAACGACACGAGACAACGGGCAACCCTAAATCACTGGGATACGAACTTCAAGATTGGCGGATGAAGGATCGTCTAAAAACCGTATCTGCAGCATTGGCAATATGCCTAAACATTGGAGTCGAACCACCTGATCAACTGAAGACTACACCTGGTGCAAAGTTGGAGGCCTGGCAGGATCCTTCACATCCTCCCGTACAAAAGGCTTTGGAGACAATTGGAAAATCTCTACAAGCCCAATACGAGACATTGGCCATTCGAACAAGATACAAGCAATATTTGGATCCGTCCGTGGAAGAGACGAAGAAGTTTTGCATATCACTCCGTCGAAATGCTAAAGAAGAACGAGTTCTCTTCCATTACAATGGTCATGGCGTTCCAAAGCCTACTTCATCTGGCGAAATTTGGGTATTTAACAAGAACTACACGCA